TGAAAAATTGAAAAACATGAAGTTCAAAGAGCCATTGATAACATTTTCCCGCTACTTCCATAGTGTTCTTATTTTCTTAATTTTTTTACGTTCTATATAAACAGTTTTCTCTCCTGTCTCTCTTTTGGCTTAATATTTTATTATAGCTGTTTATAAGTGTAATTGTAAACCTTTTGTAAATCTTTCCGTAGCCTCTTACTACTCTTTCGTATAAATGTTACATAATTTAATTTCCCTAATGGAACCAGTAAGGTTGTTTCTAAATATTTTGCTATTCTCAATAATGCTTGAATCTTTGTCTTTCAAGGTATTCCCTTAGATACATTCCCAGAAGTGATGGTACTGGGTATTGATACTTTTGATTTATTACATGCTCTGGAAAACTGCTTCCCAGGAAGTATCAGTGAATTCTTGAGATGGTCAGTTTTATGTGTTAACTTGTCAGGGCTGTAGTCGTCAATTATGCAGTCAAACACTAACCTAGGTGTTGCAATGAGGAATATTTCAGATGTGATTAATGTTCATAATCAGTTGACTCTGAGTAAAGGAGATTATCCTGGATAATCTGGTGGGCCTGAGAGATTAATTGAAAGGCCTTAAGAGCAGAACTGACATTCTCCAGAAGAAGAAATTCCACTTGTGGAATGCAGCCTTAGCTGCTGCCCAAGAATTTCCACCCTGCTGGCTGCCCCCACAACCACAGAAGGCAATTCTTTGCAACAAATCCCCTTAACATGTATCCCCTACTAGTTCAACATCTCCAGTTGAACCCTTACTGAAACACTGCTCCAAGAAGTATATGAACTGCTCAACTCATCTCATCCTCAGAGTATGGATGTAAGGACATTAACATTTTTGCTTATTTGATAAGTGTAAGATATAGTCAATTGTTTTCTACACTGATTTTCCTCTCCAATGGAACAAAAATCTTTTCAGATATTTATTAATCATTTATATTTCCACTTTTGGTAATTTTCTTTTCCCACTGATGGAAGTGGAGCTTTGTGATTAAGGAGGTGGGCTCTGCATCTGTTTGTGTCCTGACCCTATCACTAGTGACCTTAGGCATAGAACCCCTTGCTGTCCCAGTCTCTTCATTTGTAAAGTGGCTATAATAATATACCTACCTTTCCAAGTTATAAATGTATCACTTCTCAGTCTCAAATTCACCCTTCACCACCTGCTCTGAGACAATGGGCCAAAGACGAAGCATTTCTCCTTTGCAGTGAGCACTGTATTTAAGCTTTGTCAGCAGAGGGCACTGGAGGAACATGGCAGGAGGAAGGATCCGCATCTGGAGTGCTGCTTTTTTCTTCTTTTTCCTGCTGACATCTGGCTGCAGTAGGGCATGTGCAGGACATCCAGTGTTAGTCACTCCACCCCAGCTGTGAACCCTGAGTGTGTGATCCCTTGGCAAGCTCACAAGCTGGCCAGGCCTGGGTACCATCTTGTTGGGGCCTTCCAGTGTGGACAATGTGCTCCCCAGGCCTTGTGCTGCCCTGGGAGTTAGGGAACTCCCGATGCCCTGACACCCTCTGCATACCCCACCATCCTGCACTGGGAAGAGTTGGCTCCTTTGGCTTGGATGCAGACATCTCACACCTTAGGCCATGTGCAAACCTCCTGGGGAGTGGCTCTCAACACTGTGACTCACCCCTGCCCACCCACCCACCAGCCTCAATCTTTCATCCCAGGGTAGAGTTCCCTCCTTGCCTCCCAGGGAGACAGTTCTGGGGTGGGCATCCCAGTGGAATTCTCTGCTATCCTGGGGGCTACAACCTCGCTTCCTCCAACAAAGTCTGAATCCCAGTCTTGGGGAGGTCTCTCCAGGCCGCCGCCAAGTTGTTCCTTTCTTGGATACTTTTCATCAGCTCCAGGGTCTTCTTTTGAGTTCTCTTTTTATCTTGATAAGTTCTTCCCCATTATAGTTAATAATTACTTGTTTTAAATTTTTTTTCCTTATTCAAATTACTGACTGGACTCCAACTGATACTTGGCCTCACAGAACTGTTGTGAGGTGACTCATATAATGCACGTGCATCACAGATTGCAAATAGTAAGTGCTCAAGGAATGTTAGTTATTATTACCTTTGGCATCTTAATATTTTCTTATTGATTTGTATGAGCTATTTATATATTAAGGGTGTGAACTTAAAATAGAGCTTTAGAAAGTAATGCAATAAAATGGCCTACAGAATATTTAGTTAGAAGACCTAACTTAATGTTCATTAAGAAGTAACCAGGATTAGGCATAACTTTTGAGTAGAAGAAAAACTTGGATTTGAATTCTGGCTCTGTAATTTGCTTATTTTGGGGAAATCCTTTAGTCTCTTATAGCCTCTTTTTTCTCATTTGTATAGATGCAAATAAAAATAAATATATTTTAGGGTTGCTGGGAAGACTACAAGAGACAAAGAATAATAAAGCTTTTAGGGCAGGTTCTCCTATGTAGTAGGCATTCCATAAATGTTGTTTCTTTGCCCTCTTCAGTTCAAGTCATATTCACTTTCACACATAATGAATACCTCATTTGGCATTCTTAACAACCTCAGGAAGCCACCAAGACTGGTATTGCAGCTGAATAAAAACCAAGGCACAAAGTCATTTAACTACTTAGCATCACATGCTAGCTAGCAACCAAGAAAGGACCAGAGTATTGCATTTTGGATTTGATTTTACTCTACTTAAGAACTAATGAGTTACCATTACTCAATGAATCCTTGATTAATTTAATCTTTTATCACTTTGAAGTGACCTTCTTTATATCTGTGCTTTTTTATCTTAAAATCTACTGGATATTGCTATTTTATACCAGTTTTCTTTTGGTTACAATTTATGTGGCATATATATTTTTTCAAACTTTTAATTCCAACCTGTATTTCAGATATTTTGGATGTGTCTCTTGTGTTTTTATTATATTTTTGCCAGTCTGTCAGTCTTTGGCATATGTTGTTTATTTACAATTAATATGATGACTAATATATGTGTTTTAATCTATGGTCTTACTATGTATTTTCCCTTGTTTACTCCCATTCTATTCTATGTTTATTTCTGCTTTTCTTTTGAAATAAATGAAAAGATGATATAATTTAAAAATTCTCAGTTAGCTTCAAAGTTATATACTCTTTTATTGCCTTAGTAGCTACCCTAGAGAATTCAACGTCACTTTTATTTATGAAAATCTAATATTATTTGATAACTTTACCACATTTCCAGACAATTCCTTATAATATGTTAATTCCATTTATCATGCTCTGTATATGTCATTATTATTGTATAGGTTGATATTCTTTCTCTATAAATGATAAGACATAAGTATTCTTTTAATAGTCAACACTCACATATATTACACACATATTTGCTTCTTTTTTCCCTCTTTCTTTCTTCCTACATCTCTAATCATCTGGGTTCACTTTTCTTCTGCCTTTATAGGTATTCTATTTAGTAGTCTCTGCTGTAGATAAATGGTGTCAGGTTTTATTTGTCTGAAAATGACTTTATTTCATTTTTATTCTGGAATAATATTTTCCCTGGCAGTAGAAATCTAAGTTGGCAGTTATTTTCTCTCCGCACTTTGAATATATCATTACATTGTCTTCTGGCTTACATTGTCTCTGTTGGGAAGTTGCTGTCAGTCTGTTTTTACTTTCATGGTAATATTTCTTTGTGGCTGCTTTTTTAAGAATCAAAATATTTTGAGGTATAATTTGGATACAATACAACATATCCATTTAAAATGTACATTTTGGCTGGGCGTGGTGGCTCATACCAGCACTTTGGAAGGTGACCTCAGGTGACCCACCCGCCTTGACCTTCCAAAGTAATCCCAGCACTTTGGAAGGCCAAGGCGGGTGGGTCACCTGAGGTCAGGAGTTTGAGACCAGCCTGGTCAACATGGTGAAACCCCATCTCTACTGAAAATACAAAAATTATCTGGGCATGGTGGTGGGTTCCTGTAATCCCAGCTACTTGGGAGGCTGAGACAGGAGAATTGCTTGAACTTGGGAGGCGAAGGTTGCAGCCATTGTACTCCAGCCTGGGCAACAGGAGCAAAACTCTGTCTCAAAAAAATGTTCATTTTGATGAGTTTTGACAAATTTATTCACCCAACTAATCACCATCAACTAGATGCAGAATTGTGCCATACTGTCTGATCTTAAGGTTTCGTTGTGCTTTGTCCCAATCAGATGTTCCTATTCCCCTTCCCCGGCAACCACTGACCTGCTTTTCATTTTTATAGATTGAATGGGTCTTTCCTACAGTTTAGTAAAGATGAAAAGATGTCTGGCATCTTTTGCTCAGCAGAATGCTTTGAGGTTTATCCATGATGCTGTATATATCAGTATTCAACTTCCCCATCCCAGTAGTATTCCATTGTATAGATATAATTTATTGTCTATTCACCTGTTCATGGACATTTAGTTTGTTTCCAGTAGCAAGCTATTATGAATAAAGCTGCTATGAACATTCACATACAAATATTTGGGTAAATATTCAGGAATGGGAATTCTGGGTCATATGGTAAGTATATATTTAATTTTATAAGAAACTCCCAAATTGTTTTTCAAAGTGATTGTATGATTTTATGCTTCCTACAGTAATGTATGAGAGTTTCAGTTGCTCCTCATTCTTGTCAACATTTGATATTGTCAGTCTTCAATTTTAGCCATCCTAGTAAGTATATAGGAGTATCTTACTGTGATTTTATTTACATTTCCATAATAACTAAAATTTTGAGCATCTTTTATTGTGCTTATTTGGCATTCATATATCTTTGAGGAAATATCTGGTCAGTTTATTTTGTCTGGTGTGAGCTTTGGTATTTGTCTTGCAGGGAATTTGCTGTAATAATGTATTTGCATAAAATTGCTTATAATATTCTCTTATTGCCCTTTTAATGTTTGCAGGATCTATAATACTATTTTATTCCTGATATTCATAACTTTTCTGTTTTCTGTTTTATTCTTGACTAGTCTGGCTAGAGATTTATCAATTTTCTTAATGTTTCCCAAGAATTAGTTTTTCATTTTATTGCTTTTCTCTATTGTTTGTCTATTTTCCATTTCATTGATTTTACTTTTATCTTTATGGTTTCCTCCTTTCTGTTTAATTTGCTCAACTTTCTCTAGTATCTTGGGGAGTATGGAATGACATGGAAGTGTAACAAATTGTGGGTTTTTTTTTTTTCGCTTAAACAACAGAAATTTACTTCTCACAGTTCCAGGCACTAGAAGTCAAAGATTAAAGTATCAGTAGGTTAAAGTGGGCCTTAATTCAAAAATCCTGGTGTCCTTGTAAGTAAATATGCTTTATGTATTGGTAGGGGCATAAAAATTCTGAAATAATTTTAGAGTTTTTCAAGAGTAAGCAAATGAGTCAATGTTTTGGTGTAGTTTGGAGCCAGCTGAAGAAAAGACATTTGAATATTGAATGTAGAAAGAGTCTTGTGGCATTGAATTGTAACTGGAGGTAGTGATATGACTTATGATTTCAAAACTGTGTATTCCTATTTGTACCTGTATATATGAGTAGGCATGTATGTGTGTGTGGATTTGTACATATTATATGTACATACATATTTTTAGCTCTGTTCAATAGAAGGGCTAAGAATCAATTGCATTTCCGTAGCTGTAAGGATAACTTGTGGTTGAATTTTACCATTTTATATTCTTCCCTTTTAAAAGTAGAGAAGAAGTGATACCTTGGAGAAATGACTGACTTCAGTTCTGGTCAGAGTAGATACAAGGTGAACCTGTTATCTCTTGTTAGTTATGCCAAAAAAATTAGGAAGAGCAAAAATAAATAAATAAAGAAATGATAATGGTGTGTCTTAATTACATAGAACAAGGTTTGAAGAGATTTCCACTGGTTAAATATGGTACAATCTGAGCACCAAAATAGGCACAGTAATGAATATAAACTATTGAAAATATAGGAATTCACAAACCCATGTAGATAATAAAACAATAAAAATAAATAAGTACATAAATAAATGGTGATAGGAGAGTGATTTTTTTGGCTTTCTCTTGCATACAGTAAGATACTGAGGCCCAATTAAATATGTAGGGAATGCTGGCATTGAAAAAAATCCAGAATTTTAGCATCAGCGTAAATAAAGATTGTGTCAGGCACAAGTTATTGGTGGATGCCAAATCTAGAGGAAAATTTTGATGATTGGCACATTATTTACATGTTCTCAAAGTGTCTCCTAACAGATTGCTTATTAGTTATAAGGGAAAAAATAGTAATTTTACATTGGTGAAAGTGAACAATACCTTGACTGTGTAGTTGAAATTAATATCGCCAGTGAGGAGCACATGGACACCCGTTGTCCCCAGATTTGATTCTCTGATAAGGACCCAACATCACTTGTGTGAGTATTCCAGCTAGCAATGCATGATTTAACTGGATTGAATCATAAGGAAACATTAGACAAACCCCAAATCAGGAGAGGTCTATTTTTAAAAGGCAGTAAGGTTGTGTGTGTGTGTGTGTGTGTGTGTGTGTGTGTGTGTTGTACTCTTCAAAAGTGTCAATGTCTTAAAAAACAAAGACAGACTGTAGAAGTGTTCCAAGTTAAAGGAGACTAAAGGGATATGCAATAACAGACACCATACAAACAAGATCCTGTCCTGGAGAAAAAATGGCTATAAAGGACATTATTAGGTCAATTAATAAAACTGGAATATGAGCAGTTAATTAGATACAAGTATTGTATAAATGTTAAATTTACTGAAGTTGATGACTGTACTATGGTTGTGTTCTAGAATATTCCTATTCTTAGGTAATGCACACTGAAGTATTTAGCGGTAAATGGCCATGGCATAAGTAAATTATTTCTAGATGGTTCAGAAAAAGTACAAAAACTGTATATATACATATGTATATATGGGGAGAGAGAGAGAGACAGAGAGAGTGAGTGCATGTAGATGTGCAAGAATAAGAAAACAACAATGAAAATGATAAATAGGATAAAATGTTGACAATAAATGAATCTGGGTATTCTTGGCAATATTCTTGCAACTTTTCTGTAAGTTTGAAGTTATTTCTAAATTAGATGTTAAAACATTAAGATTGTGCCTGAGAACTCCAGTATTACATTCCCCTGTGGGTCCAGTTCTGTGGTCTACTTTTTTTGTTTGTTTGTTTGTTTTGTTTTTTGCTAATCATGCTTTGGCAGTTACCTTGTCTCCTTGTGTGTGTAGGTATTTTTCATTATGTGTCAGACATTGTGTTTTCAGAAATGTTTGTGGAAATAATTTGAGTCCTTAGATGAAGGCACTTTTCTCCAGAGATAATGTATGAATATCATGAATAGTTTACTTTTTCATGTGCCCAGGGGCACTAGCATTCCAGGATATCAGGGACAACTCAGATCACTTTAATTCATGTTCAGGGACTGACTGTTCACTTCTGATTCACTCTTATTCCCAAGGTGTGGTTCTATGGGGTTCCCAGACAAATTAAAGTGTGTTGGGGGAAGGACGTTGAAAGATTTGTGAGGCTTCTTCCACTTTGTGGGCTCTGGATTGTGGTGTCTGTTTTAGGTGTGTGAGGTTGTCGAAAGTTCTTAGCCTCTTAGCTGACCCCTCTCTGGTATTGGCAAATGCTCACAGAAGAAAAGAGACCCCCAGTTCTGGGCTCATCTTCATGCACCTCTCTCATCCCCTGGATTCCAACTGTGTAATTTTTTACCTTTAAAAAATTTTTTTGATGTCTGCTGTAAATCATATTTATATTTTGACTAGTTTCTCTTGTTGTCCCCAGCAGGAGAATTTCTTGGGATCACTGAGACTGGCATTACTGAAAGCAAAAGTATCCCAACTTGATTCTTTTAACTGCTGTAAAGTGTTTGATAATAGGGCTATATCATGGTTTACTTAGCCATTCTTACATTGACAGACATTTAGTTTATTTCCAAATTTGTACTGTTTCTAATAATGATGGGTTAATCATACTTGTGTATGTCTCCCTGTGTATATGTAAAAGTACTTTTCTAGCTATCAGGAAATGGAAATGCTAGGTTATAGCTATTGAACATTTTAAATGGTAGTGGAAGCAGCCACAGTTTTCCAAAATGATGGTAGTATTATATACTCTACCAGCGATGCATAGGAGTTCTCATTTTTCCACAGTCTCCTCAGTGCTTGACATAAAATCTTTGAAATGTAGCCAATGTGATGAGTGACAAAAATATCCCCTTATTGTTCTAATTTTCATTTTGGTGACTGATAATAACATTGAACATCTTTTCATATGTTTATTGACCATTTGTATTTCCTTTTCTGTGAAATCCCTTTTCATGTCATTTGCCTACTAGTTGATTTTTCATTATTGATTTATACATATTCATTATGTATTTTGGATAGTAATTCTTTTAAATTTATGTATCAAATATTATCTTTAGTTTGTCACTTCCCTTCACAGTTTCATGGGGTCTTTTGCCTTATGTTGTAAGTATTGTGGTAGCTTAATTATCAATCTTATATTCTGTAGCTTTGCCCTTTATCTCTTACACTAAAATCTCAAGCCTTGTCTCAAATAATCCTGTTTGTTTTTTGCATCTCAGTAAAACACAGATACACACACACACACACACAATCCAACACTTAAATTTTTTTCATTCACTCACATTCTGTGGGCTTTCATTGCTTGTATTTTACTTTCAAATTTTATAGTATGAATTTTAAATGAGAGCATTTGGTGACCTTTTTGTAGATTGCAAAAGGAGTTGCCTTTTTCCATCATATCTCTTCTTTTTCCTTCTAGTTTTTTTCTCTAGTGAGAAAAATGATGATAATAAGTGTCAGCATGGAATGGTGATGGATGCTGGGCCAAGTGTCGGAGGAAAATGGATCGCGGTGTGTCTGTGCATGCACAAACATTTTGTCGCTTTGGGCCTTACTTTTGTCGACCTCAAAGCAAGAGCATTAACTTACAATTAATTACACTTAAATTACACTTTGCGACCTCTTCTAGGTCCCATATGTTTATAATATTATCATGATGAAATGTAATCATTGAAAAGATTTGTATCATTATTGCCTAAGACCTTTGACTTGAAAGTAAATTATATGTGGAAAACCAAGTGCAAAAAAAAAAAAATCACTGAAAACCTTCTTTAGCATAGTTATTTCCTAAATGCCAATTACAATAGATTAGTCTGTTTAGAGATGCTCCATGAAACAACAGTGTAAAGGATAGGTGATCCAGTAAGTGTGAGAGCTGCTTCATAGTGCATTCCTCTATTCATATTCCATTCTTGGAGATTTCCAAATGCACATTAGCTTATTAAACCCTGCCATTTTGTGGGGGCAGATGCCTGTCACCAAACCCCAGAGCATGCAGGATGCTCAGCCTGGTGTGTACCGACTCTGCTTGTCACCATGCCACAGCCAATCACAGTGCCTTTTTGGATTGTCCTGCCTTGTTAATTACTGTTTGCGCAGCTTGTCCTAATCCCTTACCCTAGGAACAGGGCCAGACTCAACAGAAGACATCTCTTGTCCTTGATGAATTTACTATTGTTTTGCTTCTGCACATGGCTCTGGAGAGCTGAATGGAGCTTTCAAGTAGGGCCCGTTTTAACAGAGATTTCTGGGCTCTGGCTTAGACCCACCTATGTAGATGATGCCCTGTGATGAATGCCACGTTTCTGTTTTCAGAAACAGGCAGCAAAGTTATCATGATGACAACTTTACAGTGAAAAAGCACTGCAGCCTGGCTTCGGTCTGGCATCTAAAATAAAATAATAACCAAAATAAGGACACTGGCTTTGAATTTATTCCACCTTTTCTTCCTGGCTCAATTTTCCACTGTGAACCTATACATGGCAACAGTTATGCAGAAAGATGGCAAAAGGAAGTGCCTGCCTACAGCCAGCTGTGTGTGTGTGTGTGTGTGTATGTGTGTGTGTGTGTGTCTGTGTATGTGACATTTCTGGCGATTCCCAGCATTTCTTTGCATGTGAAGGTGATGAGAATGAGCACCTGCTCTGTAATGAAACCAAGTGCTAGCAGATAGCTTGGCCTCTTCAGTAATTTAAGGTCTTCATATAGGCATTTGCAAAGACAGAGCTGTGATAGCAAACATCTTGCTTAGAACTCAAAAGAGAAAACATTTCTGTCATCCAGAAATCTGCTGCTTTATCTCTTAGGAAAACATTTATAAATACAGTTTTAGGAGATAGAAACCATTCCATTCTGGATGATCCTGTTAGGTTTCTCCATTTGTTTGCTTTGCATCTGAGGACTTTCCTAGTTCCTTGGCTGTTTTTCTCTTTAACAAGTGGATATGAGGCCTCGTCTGATGTTTATTTTCAATCATGATAGAAACTGTGAACTCTCTCTAGGTTAAGAAGTGAAATTTTAAGTGCTATGCACTGATACTTTTTTTGGTCCCTGAGAAGCTAATAAGAGAACTTTAAATGTAGAACTTACAATTCCTGCACTGAATTGGACTCATTAAAAACTTAAAATATACCTCGCCATCCAAAGCCCTCAAGCAATCTGAACAGAAGGTGCTCTATGTCTTAAAAGAAGAAATACGCAGTTTGAGTTTACTAGAGTGCAACAAACAACCATTGACGATTCAAGGGAATTCTGGAGTGATTCCTAATTGCGGGGTAAGAGAGGGGAGTCTGGAGTGGAGGAGAGGCAACTGCACATTTCAGGAGAGGGAACAATGGGGTGGAGGAAATGAAAGTGGTGGAAGGAGTAAGAATAAAGACCCGACTAGCGGGAGAGAGAGGAAAGGGAAGGAGAAGAATGCGGGATACTGTAAAGAACTAGTGGTGAATGCTATCTTGGGAACCGAGGGGCTTAGTGTGAGGCAAGAACAAAGTGCTGATGAGGATAAAACCTGGTATTTAGGGACATTTGTGGGACTCACAGCCTGTGCTTAGTGACTAAAGTAAATCGGATTTGAAATTCTGCCCAGTCCAGGAAGGCACAGAGGACTTTCCTAAAGAGCTTGAGAGAAATTTGCAAGGATATGTTGGTGACTGGAGATTTAAATAAGAAGAAATACTAGTCAGAGAAAGGAAGTGTGTGTGATTTGTGTGATTTTGGTGGGGGCAGTGTCTTTATTCTTTCTTTACTATTTTCTGAGTTCCCTGAAAAGGTCGTTGGACCAGATCATTTCTATGCATTGTTGTCCAGGGATGGATTATCTTCAAGGGGTGGATTTTTTTTTTTTTTTTTTTTTTAAAGTAATCCAAAGGTATGTGTAGTCACTTGTGTGTTTCACTAATGATTTGATCACGCCTCCAGCCCCCTTGTGGTTGGGTGGAGCCATGTGATGATTTCTGGCCAGGGATTGTAAGTGGAAGTTGTTGCATTTGTTGCTTTTATGCCGGAGCGTTTACTTACTGTTGTGGAACTTTCCAGATCTCTTCCTCAGGGTGATTCGTCCTGGAGTAAAGAGACATGGAGTAGACCAGGGACGGGTGCACTTTTTCTGTAAAGGGCCAGATAGTAAATATTTCTGGCTTTGGAAGCCATGCTCTGTTGCAACTACTCCCTTCCACTGTTACGGCACAGAAGCAGTAAATGAATGAGCGTGGCTGTGTTTAATAACACTTTAGTTACAAAAACAAGTGGCAGGCCGAATTTGGCCCATGGGCTGCAGTTTGTGACCCTTGGAGTGGAGCACCCATCTAATTCCCGCTGGACATGTATCAGCATATCCATGAGAAATAAACTTTTATTTTTAAAGCCACTCACATAATTATGTTTGCTACGCAGCACCCCCGAGCCTATTTGACTGACACAGGGCGAAAAGGAGCCAACTGTGCTTCTGGTTTTAAAAAGGAAGCAGCTTTCCTGGGAAGATGGCCAGGATGAATCCCCAGACCATTACAGTTAAACCTGCATTTATTGATCACCAGCTGTGTGCCCCTAACTGTGCATTTTCCCAAAGCTTCCAAAACAGTTCCCAGGGAACAGTCTAAAAACGCCTCCTTGCATGAAGGATTCAAGAGGCTGCAGGGGCACTCAGCGTCGGGGCCCTGCCTCTGGGAGTCGGGGTCTAGGGGGGTCATCCTGCCTCCGCCCTCTGTGGGGCTTTGCCTGCTGAGGAGCCTTCAGCCCTAAAGGGAAGAGGGAGGTGCAGGGTTTTAGTTGTTTTAAATCTGCCTTGTTACTCTCTTATAGGTTACTTCTGAGTCCTGGACTGCTCCTGCCTGGCCACCCACCAGGCTACATTGGGGTCTGCTTATCCCAGGCCTCCTCCCTACAGTCTGTCTGTGCTCCCTGGAGGCAAAGACTGTGTCTTGTTCGTCTCTGTGTCCTCAGAGGCTGGCACATGGCAGGGGCTTCAGAAAGACCTATGGACCCCCAAACCTTACATCTGAACTTTATGAATTTTATTTGTTTTCTGTAGCAAAATGTATGTTTTCTATTTTTTTATGAAAAATCTCCATTCTCTTTTGGCTGGGAACCTCCCTCTCTGGAGCTCTCCTATCCCATTTCCTTTGTGATCTTCTCTTTTCCAGCCCTGGAGACACACATGCTGCCCAAATCCTGAGGCTCTCCCCTCCCCACTTCAGGCAGGTCTGTCTGGAGACGGTCCTTCCTGGGCTCTGCTGCCTGCAGCCTGCCCAGCTGCCCTTCGAAAGCTCAGGCTCCTTCTGTGACGCAGGGGGGCTGTTTATTCACTCGCTCTGATGATAACGCTGCGTGTGCAGCAGGTGGCGGGAAGCTGATGGATGGGGAGCGGCCCAGGAAGTGTGTCTCAGCTCCTTCCTTCTCTCCACCTCCTTCTCGGGGATTCCTAGTTTCTCCCCTAAGACTGTCTTTTTTTCTTCCGATTTTGCTTGGTTTGAAGATTTTCTTTCCAACTCATATTTGCCAATTTTATTCCACCATTTTAGCTCCTAATCGGGGTGGCGGGTGAACTGGTCTCCTGTGCTCAGAGTTGGAATTGGGATCTACATTCTGGGGTCCCTTGATCTCTTTATTAATCACAGCCAACTCTTAGAGCTCATCTGGGCATGATTAACATCAGCTAGAATGTGAGCGTTGAGTATGGATGAGACCCTTGCAGGGGCCTCTAGGGAAACAGAAAAAATAAAATGCAATTCCTGTTCTTCGTGTGTTTACAACTCTGAGGGGAGAGACCACTGTACACATCCCACTGGGAGGCTGGGGCAGGGGATAGTTGATTTGGCTGGTGACAGGATCCTACAGGTGACGGTGAAGCTGCCTGGGGCTCTACAAGGGAAGGGCTGGAAGGAGAGCATCCTGGGGCAGAGGAAGCCATGGTGTGTGTGTCTAGCTGAGCATGACGCATAGGCCTGTGGGTGTGCCCACTCAGGTGAGCGTGATGCAAAGACCCACAGGTGTACACGTCCAGGTGAAAATGATGCAAAGGCCCACAGGTACAGAGGCCACGAATTGTACACGTCTAAGGTGAAAATGATGCAAGAGGCCCACAGATCCCACAGGTGTACACGTCCAGGTGAAAATGATGCAAAGGCCCACAGGTGTACATGTCCAGGCAAGTGTAATGGGAGCAGCAGGAGCTGGGTCTGGACAGGCAGCAGGGGATGAGGTGACCCAAGTGTCTTCCTAATGGAAAGCAAAGCCTGCTCTGGTCATGGTGTGGGGTGGGGATTAAACAGAGCTGCATCAGGATGGGGTACACATCTCAGGTGATCCCTGGAGAGCTTTGAAGGAGACAGAAGGTGGTCATGAGGCAAGGTGAGTAAAGTGAGGAAGGTGAGGAAGGTGGGAGGAGAAGGCAGATTCCAGAGACAGGTCTGGCTAGAACCAGCAGGACTCAGGGACAGAGGGGGGATGGAGCTGAGTGGGAGGCAGTGGCGTTCCTGAGGCCAAAAACAAGGGCCTTGGGATAGAGCTGGGACACAAGTCCTAGTCACGTGTGTTTAGGATGAAGTGCAGCTCAGGAGCTTGTGTCCATGGCGGAGTAACTGGCCAGCCTGGCCCCCACCTCTGCCGTAAACAACTTGGAGCTTGAATAGAAACCAGGAAACAGCAGTTTTCAGACACTAAGCAGGCAGCACAGGTCTGTGATTCTAGAGAGAAGGAAACAAACCAGGCTGGGATCCCAGGCGGCCAGCAGGGGTCATTTGGTTTGAGTGGGGCCTTGCAGGTTCTGGGGAGCTGAGAGCTGCACAATTCTCAGAGCTCCCTCAGGGCTGGGGGATGGCCACGTTCAGAGCAGCCAGGTGGAGATCAGGTCACACATGGAGTCGGCTCGGGACCCCTGGAAATGAGACTGAAATCCATGGGACCAGAGTCCCTGTCCCCTGCCTCTGAGAATGGCCGGGGCTGGGAAGCCAATGGAGATGGTCGCGCCTACACTGCTGTCACATCGGGTGGCATTGTCAGGGTGACTCACATGGACACTTAGCATCTGAGGACAAATGAGAGTAGATGTTGGGGTCCTGTACACAAAAGGCACCACAACAGGAGAATGAGTCCTGTCATCACTTGACCTGGCTGTCTTTATTTTAGTTCCATGCTCTGACACTCCTGACAGCACACGTGTGGCAGTGTGGAATCATGAATGTTATCTTCCCTGTCCAAGTCCATCAGGGAAAGACATAATAGGTGTGTGGTTGTGGAGCCCAGGTTCCCTGTGGTCCCCCCATGTGCAATTAGCATCTTCTGGTGATATCACCATTTGTCCACAGCACAACCCCTTCCAGAACACCCCTGCCCATCTTATGCCGGAGTGGAGCCAATGAGGCCTCTGAGGCTCCCTGCTAATTGCTGTTTTTCATGTGTCCATGCCTATGTGGTTTGAACACGAGGAGGGGTTGAAACTGGGGCAGCTGGGCAGGCTGCCTCACCTTTCAAATAGTGGGACCCTCTTCACATGTGGGGAACCGCCAGCATATCCTTGGCTCAAGTGACTCTGGAGGTCCCAGGAGTATGAACACTGCTGCATCCCACTGTTATCCTGTCTGCTTGTCTGGGGTCTTGCTGATGAGGGCACATTTTCCAAAACTCCTGAGAGAACTGGAGATCATCATGCTAAATGAAATAAGCCAGACACAGAAAGACAACCATTGCTTGTTCTCACTTATTTGTGGGATGTGAAAACCAAAATAGTTGAACTCATGGACAGAGAGAGTAAAAGGATGGTTACCAAAAGCTGGAAGGGTAGTAGTGGAGGGTGGTGGGGATGTCTAATGGGTACAAAAAATATAGTTAGAAAGAATGAATAAGACCTACTATTTGATAGCACAACAGGGTGACTGTAGTCAATAATAATTTAATTGTACTTTTAAAAATAACTAGAAGAGTATAACTGGATTGTTTGTAACACAAAGGATAAATACTTGAGAGGATGGGTACCCCATGGTATGGTTTGACTGTGTTCCCACCCAAATCTCATCCTGAACTGTAGCTCCCATAATTCCCATGTGTTATGGGAGGGACCTGGTTGGAGATAATTGACTCATGGGAGCAGTTTCCCCCATACTGTTTTCATGGTAGTGAATAAGTCTCATGAGAGCTGATGATTTTATAAGGGGTTTTCCCTTTCGCTTGCCTCTCATTTCCCTCTCTTGCCTGCCACCATGTAAGACGTGCCTTTCACCTTCCACTGATTGTGAGGCCTCCCAAGCCATGTGGGAGTGTCAGCCCATGAATCCTCTTTTTCTTTATACATTACAAAGTCCCGGGTATGCCTTTATCAGCAGTGTGAGAACAGACTCATATAACCCATTTTACCTGATGTGATTATTATGCATTGCATGCCTGTGTCAAAACATCTCCTGTGCTCCACAAATACATACACCTACTATGTACCCACAAAAATTAAAATAAAAAAATAAAGCTGGCAGGGCACGGTGGCTCATGCCTGTAATTCCAGGACTTTGGGAGGCCGAGGTGGGTGGATCACTTGAGATCAGGAGTTTGAGACCAGCCTGACCAACATGGTGAAACCCTGTCTCTACTGAAAAATACAAAAATTAGCTGGGCATGGTGGTGGGTGCCTCTAATCCCACCTACTCAGGAGGCTGAGGCAGGAGAATTGCTTGAACCCAGGAGGTGGAGGTTGCAGTGAGCCGAGATCACGCCATTGCACTCCAGCCTGGGTGACAGAGCAAGACTCCATCTCAAAAAATAAAAAAACAAAAACAAAAGCTACCAAGAATACATCTTAATTTTCCTTCTTAAGCTGAATACATCATCTCTCCTTCAGCCCAGTGCATTTCACTCTTCAACAGTACTGCTCAACCGTTTGAGTATTCACAGCCTTTTCATTGTTCTCAGTCCATAGACCAGAGTCAAAGGATGAAATAAAACAGTTGATTCCAGACCACTGGGGCCAGTATCATCAGTGTGTGTGTGTGTCATTGACTGGAAGGGCAACCACTTCTTTTGAGGACTAACTATTGGCTGCTCACCTACAGGGAAGGTCCTGGAAAATTCTCACAAAATCAAATCTTGGCCTTTCCTTACAATCTTTTACTTCTGCTCTTTTGAAGAATGAAACATATTGTTTGTTGTCATCATGAAAGTTTTCAAAAAGATCTTTACAGTTTTGCTACTCTCAGAAAGTTATTTTTGTCTTCATATTTTCCCACATCTCCTGTATTCGTTAATGAAACAAAGGAAAGGTGCGTGGGTCTCTCCAGTGGGATAATGAGTTATGAGAATGTTTATTGCAAAGAGCTTTCTGATGCATTTGAATAATAAAGATATTCAGGAAGGTGATCTCAGTGAGAAATAATATCAAAGTTAGATGGAATACTCAGCAGGGGAGGCACTGGCAGTACCCAGGAGAACCAGAGCTGGGAGGCTTATGGACCTTCTTTAGGCAGGGCTGTGAGTCCTCCCTGAATTCAGGGAGGTGCATTTGGAGCCGTGAGTCTGATGGGAGGAGGAGATTCTCAGAGTCAGGGTCAGACCCACACATGCTCGCTGTGGCCAGGCTGATCACAGGTAATGAGACTGGAGAGCTGGTGCTGGCCCAGGGAGCCCCTGCCCCTCTAACCGGGAGATGCCCTCAGCTTCAGCTGACAGTTGCCGCAGAGGGATGTGGGGCCAGGACCACACCAACTTCTGTTGATTGTGTCAAGAGAAGTCAGACATCTGGATTTAAGGTAGAATCTCTCAATTTTTAAATGTTGACACTTTAGAAACACCATGCCAGACAACAGAAAACACATCTTCATTCCAGTTTGCAAACTTCATCCTAGAACTGGTTGTAAGCGGCCCTTTCTCATCATCTGCCAAAGGCACTTTGGACTCTGTTGTGTTCTTCTGTCATGAACCTCGAATATCCCATCCCAGTCCTTACATCCAGGGCGTTTCTTCCCGGCGCTGCCAGGCCACCCTCGCCGTCTTCCTCTGCATCCCGCTGCTCTCCTCACCTTGAGGCAGGAGAGCTGCTCCCTGCCTCATCCACATGCCTGGTTCTCGACCTGGCTGTGCTGTTCAGTCTTCATAGAAAGCAAACTTTTTATTTCCGAATGATTTCAGGAAAGTCTCAGCTTGGATCTCATTGGCCCAGGCTGAGTCATGTGCTCATCTCTGAACCAGTCACTGTGAGCCACAGAATGCAATATGCTGATTGGCTGGGCTGGCTCACATGACGGCTCCAGGAATTGCAGATGGCAGTCAGCTCCATCTGAAGCACATGGACTAAAAGTGTGAAATGGTGTTTTTGCCAAAGGAAGTTTGGTGTACTGTTAATCAGAATAAAGGGAATAGATCTCAGGTTGACTAAAATCATATACGTCCCATACACTTGGATTTCAAACTGATTGACCATTTAGCCTTTAGAATGTATAAACCAGGACTCTTAACCAATTTGATTCCTAAGTAGATATTATATTATCTCTTTATTTAAATGAATAATTTTGTTTGTATTCGTAGAGGACCAGCTATGTTTACTAGGCCTGGTTGTGCTGAACAGAAAGAACAAGACTGTTTCTGTCTTCCTGGAGGGATGAGTCTAGCACTGAAGCTAGAACATAAATAAGTACCCAAATAATTAATTATAATTATGAGAAATGCCGTGAAAAAGAGAACTATTAGGAGGTTAGAGTGTGTAAAACACAGATACCTGCTATAGACTGGCAAGTCAAAGGTTGCTTTTCTGAATAGGTGACATCACATTGAGCCCTGCATGATAAATAGATGTCACCCAAGTGAGGCATGGGTGAACTGAGGTGTGGCTGGCCTATGGGCTGGTTGAAGTCGGAGTGGTTGTTGACATATCTATCAGCCTGCATTCAGTTTCCATAAAGGCTTCTTAATAAAAACATTTCTATGACCTTCTTGAGGATGATTACTACCAATAAAATTTGGTTCTTTTCTCTGGAAGAAAACTTGACTAATCCACAGTCAGCAACCTGTGAACTTTTGGTCGTGCTCTATACAATTATGTTGGCGTATTTGTTTGTTTGTTTGTTTGTTTGAGCCATGCACAAAGCCTCATGACCAGACCCAAGGGCCCCCGTTAATTTACTGAGTAGCTAAGCTTAGGATAGAGTTTAGGACCCAAGAGTGGAGGTTTCCTCTAGAAAGCTAACTGGTCTCTATGATGTTAAGCTTTAAATTTTGGCATCATGTTCCAAATGTTCCAACTGCATGAAAGTTTGCAGGGTAGTAATTTATCTCTCAAATATTAAGTAAACTAAAAGCAATTGCAGTACTTCTCTTGAGCTGAATGAAGCCTCCACTTGATACTCCTGATCCTTTCCTGACCCAGACTACTTTACCCACATTCTACTTGTGAAGCAAATGGGTTTTCATTAGTGGCAGGATGTTTTAAAAGTGCAATATTCATAGTCCTCTGTTAGCCGACCATCCCTTGAGACTGAATAGGAACTCACATTGTGGTCTGAATTGCTACATCCTTTTATTGTCACAATAGGAATGGATGGCCACGGGGTGTGCTCTCAGTGTGATGTGCATTTCAGAGCAGAATTTCTTCTCCCTAAGCTCTCTGTTAGTTGTTTATAGCTTTGCCCCTCTTTGTGCTGATGACTATTCACATTTTTCATTTATAAAATCAATTTATTTCTATTGTATTTTCTCTATTTATGATTGTGATTGCCTGGACTGGTTATCTTTGGGACTCCATGACTGTACATTTGGAGAGAGATTAACAGAAGGAATATTTTGTCACTCACTGCAGAGTCCTTGGAATCTCAGCTCTCCCAGGTTTGATAGGAAGCTCTGGGTCATGACCTACCTCCAGCTTCTCATTGCTGGGAGGAATAGAATTAGAAGGATGGTTAATGAAGGGCAAGTTATTCTTTTTCTCCTTGTTCCAGGAAAGGCTCTGTTAATATTCATCTATATTAGTCCATTTTCACAGTGCTATAAAGATACTACTTGAGACTGGGTAATTTATAAACAAAAGAGGTTTAATTGACTCACAGTTCTGCATGGCTGGGGAGGCCTCAGGAAACTTACAATCATGGTGGAAGGTGAAGGAGAAGCAGGCACTTTCTTCACAAGGTGGCAGGAGAGAGAGAGCAAAAGCAAGGAAGTGCTACACTTTAAAACCATCAGCTCTCACGAGAACTCCCTCACTACCATGAGAACAGCATGGGAGAAACCACCCCCATGATTCAGTCACCCCCCACCAGGTCCATCCCTTGACCCATGGGAATTACAATTTGAGGTGAGATTTGGGTGGGGACACAGAGTCAAATCGTATCACCATCCATTTAAAAGATGACCCTAAAACTAATGGTCAATAATATTAACCTGATAGCAACTGAACTCCCTCTCAGCCAGGGGTCATGTCTCCTTGGAGCAGGACATCAGTGAGCCTTGGGCAGCTGTGGGACAAGAGATGACTGGACTCTGTGGGATTTGCTCTGACTCGGTCTAGAATGCCACATGTCTTCATGGGGAAGGCCACTTCCCTCTTTAGCTTTTGGGTTGGGGATTGGCAGGAAGTAGCCTTGGCTTCCTCTGGATGTGCCTATATCTGGTTTAAATGTTGGATGGATCGAAACTGCT